GGTGCAGTGACATAAAAAATATTTCGTTAGAAAAATTGGTACCGGAACAGCTTGACAAGCGCAAGACATTTACCCGGAAAGCATGTGTTCCAACGGGAGAGCAGCATACTTCTGTAAACAAGTAAAAAACACGTAGAAAAAGAGAAATGTCAAGATTTCGTACTCTTTGGCTTACAACCTCAACCTTTGGCGCTTTTTTGCAACGAAAACAAACAAACCACACTTACGCTATATACATATATCGCCGCTTTGGGGGTGACCTTATTAGCTGATTTGTGTTTATATATGCGCGCATACATAGATCATTCCCTTTTTGGCTATAATTTCTGACATGTTGAAAATTAATGATAGCGAAAATGATTTAACTGCCACGCATTTAAATCCGTTGACTTATGTATTCTGCTCTTTGTCTACGCTTGTCTGCTATTCCTGGCACACATTTGGACTTGCGTAGCGCGGCCGGTGGTATATCTTTATATGCTCATTTAGATTTATCTACCGCCTGCGCCCATAGCTTCGGGTTAATACCCACGCTCAGAAATATATATTAATATATATATCTATATTTATGATATGATCCTGCATAAGTATGTGTGTATGCACTTGTTTTGAGTTAAACCGCAAAAATCGCCAAAAGATTAACGGAGCTACATAAAGCACATTGTATGCGTTTATCTTTTCTTTTGTAATGCGATTATTTATGTTTTTCGTGGAAAGTATTATTTATATTCTTTCTGTCGGTATTACATTATCGCTGACAACACTAAGGCATATTATTTTATTTCAGAGCATACATATTAACCCTTCTGGCAATATTGTGGAAAAAAGCGAGATAATAAACAGGGTGTTCAGTTTGTTATGTTGTTAGGTAAACTTTGTATATTTTCAAACTGATTTAGTTGGTTGAGTACCTTTTGGTACAAGTCTTTCCATGCGTCAGTCCGTGTTGCTGCGAACAGCGCCGAATCGACGCTCTGCGGTCTACGTGTACACTCCCAGCTACGGCCGCTATATATTCTTAACTTCGTGTTGGACGTGGTCTACTCGATCGAATATCATCCAGTAATGATTGGTGGGTCTCAAGATGGGTGATGGTGTTGCGAGTAGTATGCTCAGTAAACCGAATATGTTGATCATAAGTTGAGCGAAGCCCACAAAACACATTCTTTTCAGAACGTGAAGTTTCGCACTAAAATTGAGCAATTTGTAAACATTGTTTAGGCGTACGTCTTTCTATGATAAAATACCAAACAATACTAAATAAAAATAACATGACAGCTTGACACGGATCACGCGTGATATGTCAAAAAAAAAAGCTATTGAAAAAAGTAGCTCTATTTGGATAACCCTTTATATTTTTTAACTTTGTCCGAAAATGGATATAAAAGCTCTTTACAATTACTGGTCTCAAGAACACGGGTCGTCATACCGAATTAGTAGTTACACTAGTTAGCATCTGCAGCAGACATTGACAGTGCTTGATATTTGAATGTTAACTGATACCTTTCCCAACGGCTTATTTATTATTTTACTTTAAGCTTATATTGAGTACTAAGGGATTGAAATTACCCAAAATATGTATGTGAATAGAGTAAATGCCACAGAGGTATTTCATTGTTTTTCAGACATGAAGGCAACAGGATATATTTAGTTTACCGCGAAGTTTGTAACATTTAAAAGAAAACGTCGGGAACCTATAACGTTCAGTGTGACCAGATGAGTCCATTTAGCTATGTCCACCTGTACGTGTGTACATACACAAACTAGTCCCGCAGTTTTGGGATATCGATTTGTAATTTTGCATACGCCTTTTTCTACACAAGCTACTACTATAGGATATAGAAAAAAAATACGAATTGTTTAATCAAAATCAAGTTGTTGTATAGAAAACTTCTTTAGTTGACAAGATATTTTCAAGAAATTTGGTGTGTGTTATTACCTAAGACAACGACATAATCTCAGAAGCAATTGTTAAGATAGGGCAACTATGGCATATAGCTGCCATACAAACTGAACGATCGGAATCAAGTGATTGTATTGTAAACTTATTTATTTGATGAGATATTTGCACGAAATTCGAAATCAGTTCTATAAGCGTATTATACCTTCGTATAGCAAGTTAACGTTTTTTCTTGTTTTTCTTTTTGATTTCATTGACTTATCATCACCGTTGACATATAACTTTCATAGCGTAAGTGGCTCAGATTATACTGCTTTGAGAATAAGAGGCTGCTGATGTAGCTGTATCAAAATTTCTTAATTGTCTGCCTTTGCAGGTAAGACTGTCAGGTCCTCTCTCATCTATATTCATTGTAGATGCCCAGATCAGCTCAGAGAGCTTAGACCTGAGGTGAGTAACCAAGTACTCACAGTTTTCATGCTACTTTGTTAACTTATAGAGCGAAAGACATTGTTCATCTGTGTTGAATTTATAAAAAATTATGCTTTGAGAGACTGTACAACTGATTGTTATATTTTAATGCTGTGCTCCAGAGCCGGTACTATTTCTAAATGAAAAATTATATAAGAAAAATTACAAGAATACATGTTACACTGTCATTATTTTATTGAAAAATTAAATATATTAATTTAACATCACCGTAGGGATAAAAGCAAATAGGTATGATGGTCTAAGCTAAATAGAATTTAGATATATACATACATACAATATAAGAGTGGAAGTAAAATCAAATATTTACGCAGAAAATTGGTTTTCATCAATAATGCTCTTAATCCCTGAGCGCACGTGAAATTTAATATTACCCCGTAGGAAAGATTTGTGTCGTTAAGCATGTACCACAAGTGCCGCAAAGATGGTTTTCATAATGCACTTGACTTAAATATTTTTTTCATAAATTATGCGCACTGCCTGAAGCCATGATTAAGAACGTTTCGCTTTACCTTTTACCTTACACGCGACGACGCAAAATCAATTTATATTTAAATACACATATAAATTTAACGATTGCTTTCAATACCATCGTCCGTTGGTTCTCTATTTTTTTTGTCGTTGCAATTTGCCTAAGCAGTTTTACGCTTGAACACCACATAACCTTGTTAAACGATAATACATCGAAATTGCAGAAGCCACAAATCCTAACGACAAATTGCATATTTCCAAGCGAATGCGATTACAGGTTGAGTAACGAGAATGGCGACAACAAGATATAATAAAAGTGCATATGAAAGCACCCAGAACAGAGAGCGTAGCCGCAACCGCTGAGCATATATGTATATGTATATATGTGTATATGTATACATGTGTATGTGCACGTAGTGTTTGACAGTGTGCAGCCATGCCACAAGATACCAAACGACACTAAAAACAGATATATAGACAAGTATTCGCTACAAACGTACATAACTAAACATTGAATTGTAAGGAGTATTGTATAACGGTACGCGTGTATATATGTAGAAGATAAAAAAAAACGTGTACAGAGTCATGCGTACGCAAAGTCATCAATATTGTAGCGATATAAAATGAAAGCAGTCAGGTGTACTGCAAATGCACACCACTTACCCGTACATACTCACATATATAAAAATGTATACAAACACCGCGTCGCATATGTGTGTGCGTGCATGTGCTTGTTATACACGCGGGTAAGCAGCGAAAGTCTGCTTGCTCATCTGGCAGGAATTTAAGTGTGTTGAGAGGAAAAAATAACACTTGAGGGCGCAATGTTATTTACATAGGTATAACGGTAAGCGTAACGCTGTTGAAGGTAAGCTCTAAGGGAAGTTGGTTTAAAAAGAGTGCGCTGACATTCAGTAGGAAGAAAGTGATGTTAATATTATAAGCTAGAAAATAATTGAGTTTTATCAGATACCAAATTTAAGTTTAACGAGTAAGGCTTAAATAAATAAAATTTCTACTTCTCGATTCATGCAAAAAAAATTTATGCTCCAACGTCGTTGCAAATTATTACCGCCACGAAGAAAATGCATATCTTTTTCAAATCTAATAAAAGCACTTTCATGGTTATATGGCGTAGTCAATCTTTTGCTCAATGAGTACGCTACCCATGACGTCAGCCAACTTGGAAAGGCCACACAACAACATTGAAACTTTTATTAGCCGCCAAAATATACTTAGTCAAATAAAAAAGTTTTCTATACAAGAAGTTGACTTGATTGTACAGTTTGTATGGCAGCTATGTATATGCTACAATTGTCCCATAGAGGCGGTTCTGATAAATGAGCAGATTCTTGATGAGAAAAGAATGTCTGCAAAATTTTAGATCTATATATCAAAAACTGAGAGACTAATTTACATTTAAGCAGACGGATGGACGTTGATCATTTATATAAATATATACTTTATATCGTGGTTAACTTAATATACCTTGTTCAGGCTATTAAAACTGGATTTTTGTCCGAATAGACCACTAAAATTATATTGAATATGAATTGTGAGATGTTGTAATGAATTTTTTTATTTGTCCAAGCGTTGCAATTATTTTTAAATTTTAATGATAGTTGACTTTATAAAAAACATTTTATAAGCTATTAAATTTTGCATAAATTCTTTTCTCAAAAAGAATATAATACATCCTGTTTTAGTCTCTTTAATTTTGTTTTTCCGTTTCAGATAGTCAGTACCTCTTGCACTTTGTATTAGCGCAGTTGCGTATAGGCAGAAATATATGTATATTAGCCTTTGAAGGCAATCGAACACAATCAGAATAATTCTAGCGTGACTATACCCAACTTACAGTAAAGCATAAAAACTATGCAATCTACATATACGTGTGTGAAAAATATGCCAACAACGAAGATGTTTGCAAGACGTACTTGCCTGCGGTACGACATCGCGTATAAGTGATATACCTTTTGCTCAAAGTGTTACTGTTATGTAAAAGGTGTGCAACCGATGCGCAAACCGACACCATGCGGAATTTGTCAATGCAAAAATCTCTGCATAAAAACATTAAGAATGGAAATGCAAACTACCTAAGGTAAAAAAAAAAAAAAAAAAAAAAAAAAAAAAAACTGCAGTCACACAGCCTTTGTGACAACGCCTGCAGTAGTTTTACGCCGTGACTGCTATTGACATGCTGCACCTGTTGGAGAGTGGGCCGTGAATGTGCAGGCAACCATGTGATACGTATAAAGTCTAGTATGACAGCTACCGTGTTTCCGCGTGTGCTCTGACTTACGTTGAGAGGCATGCATCGATATCCGGAGGTGGGCGGAAGACAATAATTTTACGAGTGATTGTGGTTACACAAAAGGCAGGGGTATGTGAGTTCTTAAGATTTGCTTTTAGTGTTAATGTATGTGTATAGGTAGGTATTAACATATTGACGGTAAAACAAAGAAAAAATATTAATTTCGGTCGCGTTGAAGCTATAATACCTTTCAATTATACAAAATAATTCTTACAAGAACTTAATTTGGATCGGTAACTTTGTATCGTAGCTATATACTATTGTATTCAGATCTAAAAAAATTGTTCGGTGGTTGTACCGTTGCCCTTGGCAATAAATCATGTCGAATTTTGTGAAGATATCTTGTTATAAAAAAAAAGTATTCCTAACAAGGGCATGATTTTGATCGTTCAGTTTGTATGGTAGCTATGTATGTATATAATATAGTCGTCCGATATCGGCGATTCCGACAAATGAGCAGCGTTTTGAGATGGAAGAGATTGCAAAAAATCATATTTGATCATATGTATATATATTTTTAAAGTTGTTACAAACTTCCTGACCAATTTTATATACCCTGTTCTAGGTATAACAATATAATTATGTTTATAAATTCCTACTAACATTTGTAGATACATATAACCGACACACTAAAGTGCTAAATAAATCCAAAGCTTACTTCTTGTGATCCTCCAAGTAGAAATCAATGCCAATCAACTTGGGACTTTATTTTGGGATTAATGTACCCATGATTCATAATTCTATACTATACGACGTTGTCAGCTGAAAGTTTAAGTCGTGGTAGGTAGATTCTGCCTGCTCGTACAAGATGGCTGAGCGGTTTATCTGACCTCACCATCTAATCTTTGTTATACATATGATGGTAAGGCTATATAAATTAAACCGCTGGGTGTTGATACGATTCCAAAAAAATAATAAGTCTCAATAAAAATATGTATCGCTGGAATTTTGCCTTATTCAACTGAAATCGATATTGACATATGAAACCAAAGAATAATTCATTCAACATGAAAACTACACCAAACAGTAACATTTTGCCGAAAACAAGGGCGCCTAGAGACCGTCTACCGTATATCAAATTTATTTAGCTCACATATGAGGATTGCTTGCATTTGCTACTAAAATATTCTTATAGACACATTTGACTTTTCCACTTACAATAATCTCTTAGCCTTTTCGGCTGAACGTATTCACAACCCTTTTCTTTTTATTTGTTCACGGTCTCGTTCGCATAGTATATGTGGTATTATACTTGTAGTAAACAACTTGTTTACTTTTATTATGTGTAAAGCCATAACATGACATCATTTACTACATACTTTTCTTGGCCATAGTTCTAAATGCGCATTTATGCATTTATGGCACGTCTGTTGAATTTAAATAATTCCACAATTTAAACTACAGGTGAATCTTTACACTGGAAAAAAATGGCATAATCTAAATTATAAAATAAACTTTTTACAATGTCAGTGCTTAAATAAAGAACATAAGTTGGTTTGGTGAATTCTTTTTAATCAGCTCGTTTTGTTTCCTATTGGTTGATCGAAAATGGCTCTCAAATTTAACTTTCTTTAAATATCACCACTGAAGAATATGCAATGCCGTTCTTATATTAGCTGAAGACCAGACAATTTGTGTGTATTATTTATAACAAAGAACTACCGATAAAGCAGAGCAGACTGAATCGTTTGGATATATGTGTATATAAGCAAGTTCTTTTAGCAGAAAATGCTTAATGGGTACAAAATATTTTTACAATCTTATACAGTAATTTATTTAGTATTATACCCAAAAAGTTTCGGCTATTTAAAATTTTTCTCACGGTGTGTGAATGCAGCAACATGTGCTTTGAATTTAAGTTACGTGTGAATATCATTGACTGTTTATTAAAATTAGCTGAACATTACGCTGAATTGGTTTAATAATGCTTTCTTTTATTTCTGTTGTAAATTGATATGGCAGCAATGTGTTGCAAAGGGCAACAGTCTGTCGCTGAATATGAGTGCACTTATGGCCTTGAGTACCGTTTACAATGATTCACGACAGCCGCCTAGACGAAAGCACTTAAAATTTAGCATAAATTTTGTCAATCTCTATAAAGGACATTTACGTGGCTTAATAAGTTATATATTTACCCTACATGTTATCGTACTTGATGCATATAAAAAAAGTTGAATTTGACATATATGATATACTCGGAGTTACCATATATATAAAGTCTTACAAAATTAGTAACCCTTTTGATTACACAGTGCTAAGTGTGAACTCACCATATACCGGTTTGGTTAGAAACTACTAAAAGTGTGATAAACCAATAACTAAATGTTTCAGAGACAATCAACCTCAGGATGACGCACCAGATGGCTTTATAGCGGCCGGTATCGAAATTGGACAGTGGGCATGGCACTGTCTACTTTTAGGTGCAATCACATATCTCGGGACTTGCTGAACCGATTTGAACTAATTTCATTAGAAAACATTCTTACAATAATAACCTGTTACAGTCCAAAAATGGATGATTCCTTTACATTACAGTATAGAAATAAAGCACCAAAGAATATATGGATATAAATGTTTGCATGAATAGTTCCTCTAAAGTGTGCCACGTTATGACCAAAAATTATCCAAATCGAACCAAAACTGTTCAAGTCCCTAGGTACCGAATATGTGGACCCCCAACCTATAGTTGACTTTTGCCGTAAATATCGGTCAATGTGTGAGGTATATGATTGAAATTCGGAACAAATGTTTTCCTGATGATATTATGTCTGAGTATCAAAAATGGGTTGAATCAGGGCAATATTTCCTTTAGCCCCCATATAACTAATATAAAGATTTTCGAACATCCGGGTGACTATATACCGCATATATTTATTATCCAGTATGTACATAAGTTATCTCAATAAAAGTGAGAGAGCGTATTTTGCTAATAACGGTGTATCTTTGTGCCTAAAATAAGTAAATATTGGTGAAAACTTGCCCTAGCTCTCATATAACAAATTTTCACAAACAACCGGTTGATTTTACTCCACATATGTATGTTGGTGACAGTATATGAGGCACTTTAATAAAACTCAGGGATCATATTATTCTGTAGTATGTTGTTTTGCCAAAAATAGATGAATCGGTTCAATACTGCCTCTATCTGTTATATAACTAACATAAGATTTTCAAACTTCCGGTTGGCCTTATGCCATATATTATATATCAGTCAATATAGAAGATATCTTAGCAAAATTAACTGATTAAAATTGGATATACTATAGTTCAACGTATAATATTGGATATACTATAATTTAATGCCGAAAATATGTGAATTTAGTCTACGACTTACCTCAACTCCTACTATGAATACTACATACGAGTATATTGATTTTCGATACTTTATCAAACCTTATGCCAAACATGTCGTTCAATGTCTGAGTTATATATTTGTAAAATTGTTTGAAAATTTGATCTCAAGTATAACTCAGTAATGTCAAAATTAACTCAATTTCCTTTCTCTGTCCCCAATATTTTGATAGTCAATATTTTGATAGTCACATGAGATGGGATATTCATATCAAAAAAGTCATAAAAAAAACTTTTTTATTTATATTCTCAAAGTTTAAAAATATAATGAACAAGAAAGCACTAAAAACAATTTATTACGCATTATTCGATAGTATAGTCAACTATGGAATTATTGCCTGGAGAGATAGTTATAAGAATGTTACAAAATTGTTAATAAAAATACAAGATAAATTAATTAATCATTTATGGAATAAAAACGAGAGAACACCCGTACTGGGTATTAAAAAGAAATTTATTTCTGAGTCACTATGTTATCATTATTCCGATTGTGGAGAGGTATTTAATGAATATAAAGGTAAGGCTAGAGCTAAACCTTTACAGTTACCAAAGATTAATAAAAATATATCTTACAAAGACTCGAAATATTTAGCAATTAAATACTACAATATGTTACCGCTGAGTCTAAAGTTGTTAAATATTAAAAATAAAGCAAGAAAAAAGAAAATAACTGAGTGGATTGTAGACACTAATATTTAAAAATACTATGTTTTCTCTTGTTTTTCTATTATAAATGACATTTGTTATTAATAGATTAGTACTTAATTATAATAAACTAATATTACCAGGCCTATGTACAGGTGTTTTGTAACACCTCTATAGGTGCATACTTTATATGTAATATGTACTTTGTATCCTGGAATAAATAAATAAATAAATAAATATGGCCTGAGTCATAATTTCCGCCTTTCCACCTGACAAAATGTGTGACAATTAAATGAACAAGTTTGCTTAAAAATTGTGTGGGAATATAAACGAAATAAAACTAAGTGTGTCTATGACCTATAATATAACTTAATAAAATTACTTTAAATTTTATTATAACCCATTTACAATTTCATCGAATAAGAAATGTTGAATTGTTTCGCAACATTTTTAATACAAAGTTTTCCTAAAACTTGAGGGTTTTTTTCCTGCTTTGATCCTTGCAAGTTTTAAGAGTATAAAATGTGCGATTACCCCGAACTTAGCCCTTCCTTACTTGTATTTCTATTATATTTTTAATTAATTTATATTACACAATTAGGAGAATAGAAATAATTTATATGTACATTCTGCTGATTAATTGTCGGAGCTGTGATCCAAGTTCTGCGCTCACACAGTATCCTATAAGTCTTTAGCTCCAAATTGCTGAAAAACTTATAAAATAAACTATTTTGAATCAAAACAATGTAAATGCCAAGCATTAAACGACTCGCTAGCACCATTCATATAACAGAACAATTGGTTTTAATATAATATACAATATATAATTTTATTTTTCACCATAAATTTCATTTGAAGCTTGTAAATAAAATCACCTTTATGGGTGCAGCAACATTTACGCAGCCCTGCAGCCAAATGCAGCTCATGCACAACGGCCAACACATCAAAAGTTCATTAATGCATTTTCAGCAAGAATGATGAAAAAACTTCAGCGAAACTAGTTTGCAAACATACATATTCTCGTATACATACAAATTTCTTCTTTACCCTGCATAGTTTCCGAATTGTCAAAT